CTTCTTGGCTATTAATATACCGTACGACGATAACACACGCACATGTTAGTCCTGGTTGGTCTAATATTGGCCATCTTGTTGCTTTTATATTGCCAATACATTTTAACAGATTGCTGTGAAAACATTCTAATACTTTTTTCATTCTTTTAAAAATTGTTCTTCTATTTCTTCAAATAAAATATTTAACAACTTTATGTATGAAGACTTTGAGTTTTATTTGGATTTTGTTAAAAGAGAATAAAAAACATATTTCTTTGAAAGCTTACACCAATACTTGAATACCACCTTCGCTACGCCACTGATTAAATATATAAGCCGGTCAAACAAGGTATAAGATTTGCCAAAAATTTAATTTCACACAAATGTTTTCAGTTATAAGCCTTCTTCGAGTTACATAAAAATGGAATAACAGTACTGCCTAGGGCTGCATTAAATAACGACGTAAGATTAGCAATAACAAAAAAGCTTGAGCGTAAACTATTGTTATAGCGCGATAGAATGATTACCACACTGATACTACTGTAATACCATACAGACTAAGTTAATTTTATTACGGTAATAAGTCAAAGTCATTAGGCCCATAAATGTGGTAATACATTTTTATCACGGTTTGAATAATACGGAATTCTTTGATTATAATTTGTATAATGATATCATAATCATGTTTTTTACTAGCCCGATAGTACATATATCAATAGGATATAGAGAACAACAAAGACGCATCCATTTATATACCTTTCCTACCGCACACTTATTTTCAGCATTGTGTTTTTTATCTACCTAGGCGAGACTTTTTTATACCTTGTTTCACCAACTTCCAATGCTGTTTATTAGCGTAACACATCCGGTGGGCGAAAGGAGGGGCGGCCGAAATGGTCGTTGACCGATAACAACATTGAAAAAGTTTAAGGAAAGGGACCACTCCTTCATGAATTATAAAGAGATAAATGACAAGGTCGTCAGATAGCGTATTTAAAGAAATTCGGCCTTCTAGTTCAAATATTCTTCAACAAGATGAAGACGCGTGTGTAGTTGTATTAGTTCTTGGCCTCAGTGTCTGTGTACCCACAGTATCCTTTTCATATTCCACGTAAGACTTTTTTTAAATATCATTTCGATTTTAATAAGAAAAATTATTTTAAATCCATTTGTTTCATTTACCTGGATCACCAGCTTGCTATTATGAGGTATAGGCCCTAATTATTATTCGCTTGAATAATTGTAACAAAATATTGTGCATTTTAACGCCACAGGACTAACGTAATAATAATGACAATAATAATACGGTGATATCTTGTCTGTTTAGGCCAATTAGCAGAGAAAAAAATGTAGACTTAATTTTTGTTTCTTTTGAATGTAAAATATTAATTCTCTTTTGGCGAGCCTTTTTTTTTTATACCTCGTTAATTTTGCGGAGGGCGGAAAAAACATAAATAAACATTTTGTCTTATTTAGCAAATAGTTTTGCCAAAAACGTGCAGACAAAGTAGAAAATAAAAATAACATTTTATTGGTGAATGTAAACAGTGTAGTAATGGGATGGTTAAATGCTTTAAACTTACATAATTAGGAAGAAATATATATAGGCCTATCTTATTTTTGGAGATTTCAAGGCAGCGGAGGGCGTAATAAAAATAAGATTTTTTTTTCTGAAATTTCCACTTTTTCGTGGCGGCAGATGTGATAATTGGCCAAAAATATAATATTGTTTTTATTCGAAATCATCATTATTGGTGGGCGGCGGGTTCGCAAAAAACAATGTATAAACAAGTCTCGTCTTATATTGATTCTTTAGAATGTTATCTGGAGTGTAGCGTCGAGTGCGCGAAGGATATTCCAGGTAGGATTGATTGTTTTCATTCCTTGTATATAACAATTGCTCCCAATTGAACATTAAATCGATATTATGAAATAAATAATTATTTTGCCACAATTTTCCCAAAGGTTTTGTAGGTAATTGTTCTGATTTTTTTGTTTTATTAGGAATGCCTAAGCCAACATTGCCACCTGCGTGTTCCCCTTGCGATGCCCCCTTCCGCCACTATGTAAGTCCACTATGTTCATTTCAATATATATATA